GACTGTTCATTGCTACACACGTTCACTTCTAGAGAACCTCAGTACATGCACGACTGTTCACGACTCGGCAGGTTTCTGGATTTAATGAAGGGAGGGAGGGAAGCTGAAATTTTGTCCACGTCCGGGGGAAGAAGAAAATGCGAGAATACAGAAATTAATTAATGACCCTAACGTATTCCCACGTGACGTACATCAGCAATCTAAAACAAGAGGCGTGAGGTTTTCCCAGAGCACGCCCCCCCCCCTGCCCTCGCATCCCCAGCGTCGTGGCATTCACGCATTGTTAGCGAGATGCTGCCTCTGTGTCGTCTAATGAAGTGATGTGAGGGCGAGATTTTACCCAGGATCAGCTAACATGTGTCCGTGATCTTGTTATTATTTCGTGTGTATGAGTAATCACGATCTTAATGAGCAATCAGCTTTTTAATGAGTTGTCTGTATGCATTGCTGGGTGAGTAATTGTGTTATCACGTTATTGGGTTTAATGACTAATAATATCACCTAATAAGCTAGTTGTGTTTAGCATGTATGTTATCACTGACATTCTTACTAATCCATGTGTTCACGAGCATCCTCACATAATTCACATATTGATAATCAATCTTGCTTCTAATAATGCAGTCTGTGTATAATAATAAGATTTGTTTTATTAAGTAAATTGGCTATGATTATTATGTTCCATTTGTAATGAGTAATCATTATTTTACATATTTATGCTTAAAGTAATTACCTCTCAAATAACATGAAAATGGAATTTTGTGGAAAAATGTCGTCTCTTCGCTTTTATTATTTATAGCCAATTAAAAGACTTGCTCAGCATGTAAAAATTACTGAATTTTTCACTAATCATAACATTTCGTAAGGAAAAAATCTATTGCACATGAAATATGCAGCGAAACTGTTGAGTAAGAGTATGTGTGTCTAGATCAGTGCTGACTAAAGCTGGGCGCACACTATCAACTCACTGCCTGGCTGCTTATCGAGACAAATGCCACATGTGTCTCTTATCCCCCGTTCCTAATATGACAGGTGTCTGTTCTATAAGAGATGTCTGTTATATAGAGATGTCTGTTATATAGAGATGTCTTTTCTATAGAGATGTCTGTTAATATAGAGGCATGTCTTTTATACTTAGAGATGTCTGATTTATATAAGATGTCTGTATTATAGAGATGTCTGTATATAGAAGATGTCTGTTCCTATAGAGATTGTCTGTTATATAGGAGATAGTCATTTTTCTATAGAGATGTCTGTTATATAGAGATAGTCTGTTATATAAGATTGTCTGTTACTATAGAGATGTCTGTTATATAGCAGAAAATGGGTCTGTTATATAGAGGTGCTCTTTTTTTATAGAGATCGTCTTTTCTATAGACGATGTCTTGTTTATATAGCAGATGTCTGTTATATAGAGATGTCTGTTTATTCATTAGCAGATGTCTAGTTATTATAGAGGATGTCTATATATAGAGATGGTCTGTTATAATAGATTTGATGCTCTGTTATATAGAGATGTCTCGTTATATAGATTATGTCTGTTTAATATAGAGTGTTGTCTTTTCTATAGAGATGTCTTTTCATTAGAGATGTCTTGTTATATAGAAGATAGTCTTTTCTATAGAATGTCTGTATAATATAGAGATGTCTGTCTATATAGAGCATGTCTGTATATAGAGATGTCTGTTATATAGAGATGTCTGTTCTATAGAGATGTCTGTTATATAGAGATGTCTGTTATATAGAGGTGTCGGGTAACATGTGATTGCACTGGATTAATAAGGATGTGCATTGTGGATATTATCGCCACGGTAACGGTGTCTGGTTCCTTGTGGTAGTCACGCGAACTGACTAGTGCAAATTAAAACAGTAAATATGTAATGTGTAATCAAGGCTACGTTTCTGTCCGTCTTGAGGCCTGATCTCATTAAAAGCTGTCACTAGGTGAGCTTAAAACAATTTCAACACTCAATGGGTAATTACTTTAATGTTGTTCTGCTCGTGTTTGTTATTCAAACGTTGAGAAAGGGTGCTGTGATAAATTAATACCATGTCTCCTGTGTTTTATCATGTCTCCTGTGTTTTATCATGTCTCCTCTGTTGTTTCATGTCTTATGTGTTTTACCATGTCTCCCGTGATGCGTCATATCTCCTCTGTTGTTTTATGTCTTATGTGTTTTACCATGTCTCCCGTTATGTGTCATGTCTCCTCTGTTGTTTTATGTCATGTGTTTTATCATGTCTCCCGTGATGCGTCATATCTCCTCTGTTGTTTTATGTGTTATGTGTTTAACCATGTCTCCCGTACGGTCCTGTGTCAGTCTCCTGTGTTGTTACATATCTCTCTCTGCTGTGACATATCTCCGCTGCTGTTACATGTCTCATCTGTTGTGTCATATCTCTCTCTGCTGTGACATATCTCCTTTGTTGTTACATTTCTCTCTCTGCTGTGACATATCTCCTCTGTTGTTACATGTCCCATCTGTTGTGTCATATCTCTTTCTGCTGTGACATATCTCCGCTGCTATGATGGTTGGCACTGGTGTGAGAGCTACATGTATGAGCTGGGAAGCTGGGGGCTGGATTGCAATTGCGTCGTTGTTTCGTTGCAGATCGTGCTGCAGAGCCGGGACTACAACGCCCTCAGCATGAGCGTGCTCGCCTTCGTCTCCATGATCTACCCGCTCGAGTACATGTTTCCTGTGATCCCCCTGCTGCCAACGTGCATGCACGGCGCCGAACAGGTGAGGCCATCATAAAAATATTGTTTGTTTGCCCTCACCCGACCGACCCGCCAAAAAGGGGCCGACTCAAAAAAATTTTATTAATATTTTCCATTCTTTTTTTTTTACAAATTGTATTACTGTACATTATATAAATCTGTAGGTAATACATTATATGATTATATGTACCAAGCAAAACAAACATTCAACATAAAAGGTATCTCCACACAAGCACACCCTAGCTGTAGCATGTAGACACCATGCTGAATTTCTAAAAAGACCCCTTCAAAAAAAAAGCCTATACCTACCTACCCAAACTTTTCAGCCTGTGTCGGGTGAGGGCAAACAAATGAGTTCTGACTCGTGGTCGTCATGCTGGGGTCGCGAACTATTACAGTAACGGCCGTAGTCATGGTTACGTCATGTTCGTTTTTGTGCCATAGATTTTTAGCTCGTCTAACACAGTCAGATGCAGCTTGTGGAATTGAATGAGTGTCCGATCGTTCGTCCATACGTCAACAATATGCGCACAAGTCTAAACCGTTTAATTTGACATACGGTGTTGATATTCAGAGCGTAGAAGGAAATCGAATCAGGGGATCCAGGGTCAATGCTTAGAAAGGGGCGATAACTGCTAGGGTCATCATTGCCGTGCCGCGCGGCTGGTTTGATGTGCTGGCCGTTGCTGTTACAGTTGCTGCTTGCACCCACGCCATACGTGATCGGTGTTCCTGCTAGCTTCTTCCTCTACAAGAAGAACTTCCGCATGCCTGACGACGTGTGGGTGGTTGACCTTGACTCTAACAAGGTGAGTGAGTGCGAGACCAGTTCGTCACGTTCATACCTCGCGTCCCAACTTCCCCTCCGGATTCCAGCAACAGCTGAGCTTCGATAAGACTCAAGTCTGACGTTCTGCGTGACCTTTCAGTGACCTTCTGACATTCTAGCTTACTTCAAGTTAAATTTATCGTTGATCAGTCATTGCACACCTCTGTCATAATGTCCTCTGCAAGGTCATGGTTTAGGTTGATAAAGTGTTCTATCTCTATTACTGCTACAACTACAATGATATAACTAATATAGTTTATGTTAATAAATTGTTCTATTTCTACTATTACTACAACTATGACCATACAAGCTGTTCCCACGTGGAGTGTAACAAGAAAGTATCGTTATAAATAGCGAGTTGTCATAGTAACGAACTAGAGTGGTAATGCTAATCAAACTAAGTAACAGGCTAACAACTAGGCAGCGATTGGTAGAGAGTCTGAGAGTTTGCTCGTTAGAGTAATGAGGAATCGGGTTGGCATCTAGAGCGATAGGTGCTTGACGGGAGCACGTTGGGCTTCGTCGTTGCCATAGCGATGACGCACGTAGTATAATCGTTGTCGTCTGCGCAGATCACTGTGCCGCTGAGTGCGGAGGAGCTGCCGGAGCTGCCGGACCCAGAGGGCAGCATGCTCAAGAATCACCTCAAGCAGGTACGAATGTTAGTCTCCCCTTCCACCTCTCACCCTACCCCTCCGCCTCCGCCTCCGCCTCCCCCCACGGTGCATTCACAAGGCGGCCATCGTGCAGCGACAGATGTATCATCGTTGCCCTGACCCCCGCATCATGCAGCGACAGATGTATCATCGTTGCCCTGACTCCGCATCATGCAGCGACAGATGTATCATCGTTGCCCTGACCCCGCATCATGCAGCGACAGATGTATCATCGTTGCCCTGACTCCGCATCATGCAGCGACAGATGTATCATCGTTGCCCTGACCCCGCATCGTGCAGCGACAGATGTATCATCGTTGCCCTGACCCCGCATCATGCAGCGACAGATGTATCATCGTTGCCCTGACCCCGCATCATGCAGCGACAGATGTATCATCGTTGCCCTGACCGCGCATCGTGCAGCGACAGATGTCTCCTCGTTGCCCTGACCCCGCAT